TGTAAAAGAAAAGTACAGTACACTTTATTTCAACATTTAACTTTATAATGTAATTTCACTAGCGTGTTGTGGCGTTGTGAACAGTGACCCTTAGCAAATAAAAGAGTTCACAGGCACTTTCGAATAGCATAAAACTATCATCATCAGGTGAAAAATTGAATACAACTGTTTCCAAGTTTGGAATATTCAAACAGTTTATGGAATTAAACAAAGCATGTGGATAGAATATCAATTTGAATTTGAAATAGAATAATATTCAAAAACTCTTGAGCAGCCATATGAGTATTGTAATATCCCAAAAAATGTGTAGTGAACAATAATTATGTACTAGAGATGTTGACTAGCTTGCTTAAATAATGTTGTCCATATTTGTGGGATCTCAATAGTATTAGTGTTGCAGGTTGTTAAGGCTGAGATGTAAAGGTTCTCCCAAATAAATAATTCTTGCCAATTGTTACACCATTTGAGTAACTTTGGCCCAGAGTGGTTGATAATCTTGCTCAACCACTTTTTTAGCTAATTTGGTTGATGGTCTGTTGTTTCTGATAGCGTCCTGATGTTCTAGGATGCAAGAAATTAACTTTCTGGCCGTGGCCCCTATGTAGCTGGTCTCTTCTCCTGTTAAATTATGTTTTAGTGGAATTTGATAGACCCCAGATTTTTCATTCAATTTAAAAATATTTCTATTGTTACATAATAGTGATGATGATAGCTTTATGCTATTCAAAAGTGCTTGTGAACTCTTATTTGCTAAAGGTCACCGTTCGTAATGCCACAACACGCTAGTGAAATTACATTATACTATTACTGTTCTCAAAAACTCAGAGAAACATGGAATTGCAAGAAAAGAATTTGATAGATTAGTTTTGTGATGGAAAAGAGAAGAGCTGGAAATAAGGAGGTAAATAAGATGGCAGAGAGGTCCCATTTCATTATGTTAAATCATAGAGACCAAAGTTTTATAAAACTGGAAAAAATTATGAATAGGAAGATAGTATTGAAGAGGAATGCCACACTTTAGTAGGCTGAGGAATGAGAAAGGAAAGAAAAACATGATAAATGCAAGGATATATACTGTATTATATATGATACCAATGGAAGAAAAATTGAGAATGAAGAAGTTTTAGAGGAAACAGCAAGAAGAGTCCTGGAGACAAGGCAGAAACAGCCATTTTTAAGACTAGAACAAGAAGAATGATGAAGGCAGTAATGGAGGACATGTTAGAGAAGCAGTGATACCAAATATTATGGATTTGTTGTTGTTTCTTTGGAAGTCATGTATAAATTATGGACTTACTCTCTGAATACTATGGAATGATCTTTTATACAAGACTTGGATAATCAAGATAATGCAATTTGTGTAGATGTTAATAATTTATTTATATAGAATTGCCAGCATGCCAAATCTCAAACCAGTCAGCATGGTCATACCAATAATGTGGAATGTATAGACAATGACAGTGGGTGCTGCTAATTTATAAGTAGTTAAGGGTCTGTCTAAAAATTGTTCTTCTGCACAACTTAGTAGCATGGTTGTGCTAACACCTGTAAAAAGAAGAAAATGTGTTCGGATTCATATTTAAAAATGATGTATGCTATTCTGACATGATCAAGCAAGCTGGAAAAAATTGTGTAATATGTATATGATGTAGGCAAAATGATGGATCACAAAATTTTTGTTATGAGTAGTCTATATTGGAAACAAGGGAACAAAGTTTGTGGGACAACCAGGGGATTGGCTGTGTATGCAGTCAGAGAAAAAATAGAAATGGTGACACTAGGAATCGGTGACTCTTAAAATAAATTTTGAATGAGTGGCTAAAGTCCATGGGCAAGTGGGAAGATAAAGCCTCCTAGTAACATCATAATTTTATTATCTGTTTTAGATGATAATTTGAAAACATTAAAACTTATTATAGAATGAAATTAAAGTAGTTTCTGAATATCTTAAAATTGGAGTGATGATGTCATAGAGAAGCAGAGGTGGATGGGGGCATTGTTCCCATGCATCCCCTCACTCTCCAACCATGACATGATCTTGTGTTACTAATGACTCTCTTCTCACTGGAAAAGAAAAGTTGTTTTGGCCACTTTCTTATTTAAGAAGGTTCCAGTGTGTGTGGAAAGATTCTTGAATGTGAATGTATAAATGGACAGAAATGCCATAAGGTTGTCAAGTATGAATGTGGAGTGTGATTTCAACAGATCTTAGAGTGAAAGACCAGGTGAGTTCCTGGTGTGCTATGTCCTGTCTATTCAACATTCTTCAGAGGATTGAAGCTTGCAAGAAGTTGAGCATGGGAAATCCACTTTTTTTCTTACCCACTCCTTTAAGGAATGCTGTGATGGTGGTGGTGTTGACTTTTGTATGTTGGTTATTTGGGGGTTTTTATTAATTTTGAATAAAACAAAAAGTTTCCTCATACTATGTGAACACTGAATACCTTTTTTAAACCTGTTAACAAACTGTAGTTATAAAAATATTTTTAAAGGCATTTACATACATGTGTTATAATAATTTTAGATATGTTATTAGCGGTGTTAATTAATTTGTGCCAACATATATTTGTTTAAATCCTGAATCTGTTCTGATAAACATATTCAGTTTTTATTAATTTCCTAGAGACTAACATGTTAAATTTGGATAATTTATACTATAAGCTGAACTTTCTGATATGGCTTTTCAAAATGATAGTTGGAGTTTGATGAATTTATTATACCTACTGTGTAATTCACTAAATTGTTGTTTCTGCTCAAATGTATTCAGAAACTGTCTAGTTTCTATTATGTAATGTGTTACAATGTGTAGTTTCTGAAAGTAGTTTTTGCAATTAGGCAGGTTACCTTTCAGGGCCTTAAATTAACTTAAGCAGGCTAAGTAGTAAGTTTGCGAAATATCCAGTTTCCTTGAACCTGTAGGAATTGATTTTTTCAGGCTTTGTACATATGGATATTTAAAATCCACTTTTTTTCTTGGTCACTCCTTTAGGGAATGCTGTGATGGTTTCACAGCCCATTTGCATGATTTTGAAATAATGCAGTTGACAAAAGAAAACTAAACCTCTTTTTTCGTAATTGAGTTTTTTTACATGGTAGAAAATAGTTTATTTGAAAACTTTTAAATTTAACTTTTCATTAAAATTGTGTTATTGTAAAAAGTTACTTTTTTGTTAAAATCAAGAGTTTTTTTTATATATATTTTTAAACAGCACAGTAGAGTACTATATGTACTGTACTGTACATTAGAGAATGCTGTATGTTGATTTTATGTTTCCTATGCTATCTTATGTTTATTATATTTACGTACAAATGATTTTAATGATAAAAGATGATAGAATACAAAGCTCATGTTTCTTTTGTAAATTGCTTATTTTTTGTTCCATTGAAGTTCTGGATCCTCTCAAGCATTTTTCTACAGAATGCATGTACTTTTACACAAATTTATGCTACAAACATATAGATATACAAAGAATAGAGATCTCAAGAGACTGAATAATTTCAAAGACTAGTATTTCTTATACAGGGTGATTGGAAAATGTCTGGCCAAAATTTAAAGGGGGTTAGAGGGGACGAATATAAAAGGATTCATAGTACAATGCTTATCCGGAAGCGCCACGTGAACGTGATAGAGGGCACTGTGTAGGGCAGTCGAAACAAGCCAGCAATGCAGAAAGCTGTGATTTCATACAGCATGCAGCACTTCACAAATTCTGAACTAGCAGATATCCATCTGACTTATGGAGCTGCGGATGGAAATGGGAGAGCTGCGCAAAGGTTGGGCTTATTAATGAAGGACTTGCTACATTTGTTTATGTCTCTTTCCTTTTATATTTCCACTTTATTTACTCTCCAGGACTTTCATGCAGCATTTCCGGACATTTTCCAATCACCCTGTATAGGGGTAAAAAAATGGAAATTTTTTCGAATAATGGATATTTTCCTGGGTGTATGGAAAATTCATTGTTTGCAATATAATGGATTCTCAGAACAGCAGATGATTTTTGGCAGCCTGAGTAATCTGTTAAAATGAGGTTCTTCTGTATATAGAAAGGCTGAGCAATTCTGCTCAATATCAAATAAATTTAAATTGTAATTCTTTGATCTATATTATGTTGAAAATACACAAATATAAAAGTTTGTTACATTTAAATCTACTCTCTATATCAAATACTTAGCTTAAAATTATTGTAAATGATTTTCCATTATTAAAAAAAATGTTAGCACTGGAAATCAATGAATCACAATGAAATTTCTGCTATGAATAGTCAATATTGGGAATAAATGTGTGAAGCCTGTGGAGTTAGGCCACCTACTGTGTCTAATGAAAAAATGGAAACAGTGGCATTGGGAATTGGTGAATTATAAAATTTTTGAACAAGTGGGCAAAGTCTGGGGTGAAAAGGGAGAATCCGCTAGTTACAGATCAAATTTTTTAAAACAAACCCATTTAAATATACAATTGGCACATCCATATGTAAAAAATTAAATAGCTACTTAAAAACTTTAATTCTGATAGTGATTCATTTTATCTAGCTACTTAAAAACTTTAATTCTGATAGTGATTCATTTTATCTAGGTTTTTTGTTTAGATTAATCACTTATTCTGTAAGAGGAAAAAATTTGTCCATGAATACTTTAGTTATAATAATTTTCTGCTATAGTTTAAATATATTGAACTGTTAAACACAAAGAAATTCATATTATTGTGGATACAGAAGCAGATTACATTGCTAATATTGTAATATTACATTTAAAAATTTGAAATTCTTTTGTCTAGTTATCTGTGTTAAAAATAATAATTTAAATATTTATTATAACTTTTATCCATAGAAAATTTTAATTTAAATTGATTTGGTTTACAGAAAAGAGTATAATTGTAATTTCAAATATTAAGCAAACTCAAAGAATGTTGGTTTTCAAATAGCTGTAGTTTTGGACAATGTATATTTATTTATTTTAACAGTAGATTTATTAATGAATAATTTTTAATTTTGCTACAGGTGGATGAAAAGACACGAATGCAACTTTTTAAATTAAGGCAGACATGGAATGGTATATTTCCGAATAAGAAGTTGTATGCAATTGATGCTAGAGTTAATGCTATTGATCCTGCATGGCCAATTACAGCAGAGAAACCACCACAGCAAACAATTCATGTCAATCCAAAATTTTTTGAAAATAAACAGGTACATATTATAATAGAAACATTTCTATTTAATAGAAGTGTTTAGTAATATATTCTATAGCTGTACATTTGTAGCTCAAGGTTTATTTAAAATTGATGGGTTTAATTTCTTCATCTTTCATTTTTGATGAATTACATCTAATTTTTGTAATAAAAATTAAATTTTCTTTATAGTTACAAAATCTTAACACATGCTTGCATGTGGTGGTAGCAGCAATTTTCTGTATACTACTAGTTTTCTTGCCAAAATTTTTCACCAAATTGACTTACTTGGCTGTGTTTCCATAATATATCATGTTATATGTTACTCATGACTGTGTAAAAATTTTAGTTGAAAAATTTTTTTATGCTTATCACAGACCTTCAAAACAGTGTTGTGGAAAATTACCATCTTACACATGCAATTGTGTACAATGTTTTTATTGTTACATGATTACATATATAAGGCAAGGATTTTCCATTCTAATGTCATTTTTCGGGATCTGATACCATGGTTTCTCATGCAGCATTTGTGATAAATCTGACCATGTCTCTCAGGACTGCTGGAAGAGATAGTCATTATATCATGGATGTTTTTCAGCTATGCATGATGAAATGACGTAGTTGTTATGATCTTGAATGCTTGTCTCTGTAAGGCCTGGAGCATTGTGACCTACAACAGTTTAAATGTTCTGTGTGTTTATTTCATACCTAAAACTTATACAGAAAAATCATTTTCTGGTAATGACTAACTTTGCCATGCCAAAATATTATGCAGTTAAAGAATGAGATAACTACTGTCTGTTAAACAATTTTTATTACTTATAACACCTTTGCAAGCACTTTCAACATTTTGTAAATGTCATCTTCAGGTCAAGAATTTAATTAGATGATTTTCTGGTCCTTATGAGAAACATTTCAAACTTCTCATCATTCATTTCCAGCTGAACTTGTTTCATATTAGTCCTTGCTATTGCAAAGTTTAGGAGGCTTCCTACGAGAGAAGAGTTAAGAATGTAGTTCTGTAAACAAAATAACATATGACACTGAAATTTTGTATGTGTAGAGAAGACACATTCCATTATTTTTCAGAATTAACAAATTTCAGAAATGGCAATTATATGCAGAATAATTGTGTAAAAAATCAACAGAAAATTGCTGCCTTATGCATGCAGTCTTTTTTTTAAAAAAAAACTACATGTGATTGCAGGTTAATTATTAAAGATGCACTGTTTATTATTATTTGTTAATTATTAAATGTTATAAGAAAAAATTAATATAATAGTTTGAAAATAAATGTCTTTGTCTAATGATTGAAATGTCTGAAATTGGTAATATACAAATAAATAATTTTATTCTATTTATATTTTCTTTGTTAATATGTAAAATTTTACCAATAAAATTTAAGCAAAAATGATAACTGAAAAATTTAATAGATTTCATTTAACTTTACGATTAATTTTTCAATAGTAAATAACTACTCACTATACCGAAATTACTTAAAATTATGCACTCAGAAACCATTTATGGTGTGATAACAAATCATTGAAAAAACAAACATTTTCGAGCCCCTTCTGGGCTGTGCATCAGGTTCTTAATCATTCCTAGATAGATATTTGATTAACGAATGTTATTTAAATAAAAGTTCAATCGTAACTTTGAAATGATTTACAAAAAAAAAAGAAAACCTATGTCGCGCATATGCAACGAGTCAGCCTGCCTGGACATTACAAGCGGCTAGAGCATGCTGTGAATAATCAACTCTTGCCAGGCCAATGACAAAACCATCTCCTCTTTAAAATTTAGGCACGTTTCCGAGCTTTCCATTCTAATATTTATACAGTAGAGCATCGATTATCCGACCCCCGATTAACTGTCACATCAGTTAACGGACCGTTCTAGTCGGCAAATTTCAAATGTCCGCTAGTGATGTGGCATTACAATATTTGGCTATGTCTTGGCTACTTTAATATTATTTTTGTTAAATTTTTGCATGTTTTAGCTGACATCAACAGCTCGACCATTGAAGGGAGGCCAGTATTTAAACGAGACTTAATTTTCTAATTATGAGTAGTAGTTTGTTTCGTGAGCAATAAAATAATTTAAAAATAATTTTTAACGATACAATAGCGACGATTATTATTTTTTAAAAAATTTGTTAGGCTAAACATCGATGAAAATTCAATGTGAAGTTGGTTAAAGCGTTATACTAATAAACTAATTACATGGGATATACTAATATCCTAATACACTATACTAATAATGTATTTTTTTCCTTCTTTTCGGTTATCCGATTTTCAGTTATCCGACCAATCTGAGTCACCAATTGAGTTGGATAATCGATGCTCTACTGTATCTAGGAAGTGCACTTTGATAGGGTTGGATCGTGTTATTTCCAGTGTCAACCCAGCTTGGGCATCCACACTTCGATGTATCATAAGGCAGGGTCTATGTCGTCATACATTCCAGTGGGGTCTTGTGATCCAGTTTCATACAAGACTGTGGCCTTTAAGCGTCAATTAGAAGAGCCTTTACATATTCTTCTAACACCAAGGCTTGCATCTATAGAACACGTAGCTGCAGAACTCAGTTATCACAAAGTTATACATAGGCTGATACAAGGTTATCAACATATATATTCAGAACATTCACAGGAGGTGGACTAGCCAATCGATAACCTGTATCTAATATCAGTATACACCAAGGTTGCCAGGAAACACCCAGGTATATCGCTTTCAGAAGGTGGCCAACTATTTTTAACATCCCACATAATGGGAAGGACCCTCCTAACCCCAGCAGACTCTCCGGAGTCTATAGTATCCCTCTAAGGGATAATAGATGTGATAGAGACCTGATATATATATAGGCTCTACTAAACTGTCCATGGGCATCAGAATATAAGAACATCATGCAGATATTCGTCATACAAGAACCTCCACTGCCCTCGCTACTTATGTAACAGATCCAGACATAGTAGTGGACTTTACACAGGCCAACCTCCTCCTCCTCCTCTGTGCCTCCCAATGAACACCACAAATGGTTAGAGGCTATGCACATTTTTAAATCCTCCATCACAGCAACATGTGTAAATTTTAAAGAGGAGATGGTTTTGTCATTGGCAACAGCTGATTCACAACACGCTCTAGCCGCTTGTATTGTCTGGGCAGGCTGCCTTGTTGTGCATGCACAATGTAGATTTTTTTTTTTTAAATTGTTTTGAACTTAATCGAACTTTTATTGAAACAATATTCATTAATGAATATCTGTCTAGGAACAGTTAAGAACCACCTGATGCAGAGCCCAGAAGGGGTTCGAAAACATTCGTTGTTTTGATGATTCATTGTCACTCCGTAAATGGTTTCCAAGTACATAGTTTTGATTAATTTTTCACATTGTATACTTGCAAAGTATGCTTTTACAAATTCTGTCATGGTTTAAAAATGATTTTATTTTGAATTAATATATATTTTTATTTAATTCTTTATAGTTTGTTAATAATAATTTACTCTGTATAGCATTTTTATAAAATATGGTATTAATTTATAACATTTGGTATTGCAGTTTTATCATCATCTAGATATAACCTAGATCTTTTTTGTAATATAATGCATATCCTGATTCATTTCAAGAATTTAATTTAACTGAATAGTATTATTGCAAAATTTATTACTTGAATTCTAGTTTGTTTAACGATTACACAAACTAGGTGGTCAAAGGTTGGTCACAATTGGATACCAATATTAAATCAGAAGATTAGCTCATATGAAATATTTTGCTTAAATTTCATTCTGTTTCTTTGCAATGACTTCCTTGAAGTCTTTAAAATTTTTCTTTTCTTTTTATTTAAATCTAATATATTAGAGTTTTTTATTGAAAGAAAAAGATTATTATTTTGTTTAAATTGGGAGATTGATTTAAAACTTATTTTTTGTAGTCACCACAGCCAACAAAAATTATCCCAGAAAATGAAGTAAAATCTCAAGAAGAATTGCAAGAGGAGGTAAGAAAACAGCTTTGGGCAAAACAGCAAGAATTGCTAAAATTACAGCAACAGAAATTGGAGTTGGAACTGATGCAAACAAAGGCTAAGTTAGAAGAGCAAACACGTTTACTAAACATGCATGATAAGGAGGTTGGTTGTAAATACAAATATCACTCATCATACATCAAAGAAGAATTTGTAGATAGGTAACACATCTATAAATGAAAATAAATGATGGTGATAAAAGATTTTGTAGTTATTTCTCTGACCTCATTTTGTCTGAGAATAACTTTATAATTTGGAATATTCTTCACAAAATTTTTAGTTTTTTTTTTTTTTGGTAAATAGAGATTTTAAATACAAATAATAAAAGTTTTATTTACAAATAATTGCACAGTATTTATTTGTGCTTCCATCAGGATCATTTTGAGATGGGTTGCCTCATCTAATATTTCTCTTTCTAAGCAGAGTAGTTGAAAATTAATTTTAAGTCACAATAATTATTTGAAATTTTTCAATTTAATTTGACATATATATAAAAATTGCTCATAGGTTGAATTATTTATTAACTGACATTAAAAAATTCCTATCAAATGCTAGTCTAATGATAATCTCTTCAGTTTATATAAAAATGAAAGTAATAATAGAAAATAGTATGTTATAAACGTTTTACATCAATGATATCAATATGATCAGTCTAATTTTTTTATTTTACATTAATACAAGTGTTCTGGGTACATGTTGCTGTTTAGTTCATTAAGAATGAAGTAAACATTTTTTTAAAGTTATTAATTGTTAAATATGTTTTTGATATAGTGAACGTCTCTTCAATCCGAAAAAATCTTTCCAGTAGACTACCTCACAGACAATTCAGGTTATAAACTCCTTTTATTGTTTTTTACAGATGCATTTCGAGCTAGGTTAATTTACTAGCTCCTCCTCAGTACTACAAGATAAATTTTAATTATAAAAATTGATAAAAACAATGTGAGTAGATAATGTTACAACAAAATTAAAAAACACATTATCATATGAAACTCATGGAACTCTTAAGGTATTGTGAAATGTGTTTTTTAATCTTGTTGTAACATTATCTACTCGCATTGTTTTTATCAATTCTTATAATTAAAATTTATCTTGTAGCACTGAGGAGGAGCTAGTAAATTAACCTAGATCGAAATGCATCTGTAAAAAACAATAAAAGGAGTTTATAATCTGAATTGGCTGTGAGGTAGTCTACCAGAAAGATTTTTTCGGATTGAAGAGACGTTCACTATATCAACATATAAAACAGCTAAACCATTGGAAAATTCAGAAAAAATATGTTTTTGTTGACATGTACTTTCATCATTAAAAAAAGTATGTTTTCTGAAGTTAAAGTTAAATGAACTAAACTTATTATAGCAGATAAACAAAATATTTGCTAAACTTTAGTAAGTAGAGTCTTGCAAACTTGACTTAATGTGAACTGAGAAGGTGGTGAGTTAATGAAAATGATGAGTTTAATAAATTCCTGTGTTAACAGTAAAATGAGAGAAACCTATTATTCTAGTCTAAATGGCAAGATTTTTGTAAATGTTTTATGTGCGCAAATTCATATACATATTAACTGAACCATTAATTAATGACTATTTTTATACGTAGTTAAATTTAAATTTAAAAAACTATTGGCTATTCAATGGCCACTTTCAAGTTAATGACTTTCTCATCATAGCATTTTGCAGTGTCATCTTGGAAAAGGATATTCTTTGTTAACATGTGGAATTGATGCTGTTATCAAGTATCATTGGTAAATAACAGTAATTCATTTGATCTCAGAATTCAGTTACAGATGTAAAAATTAGATTACATGTGTTTTGTTTTTGAGCAACATGAGTTTACGGAATGTCAATTTATCAAGAGTTGAGTTTTTGGGACTCTACTGTATTAGGAACTTCATAAACTATAATAAATGTTATAGTTTGTGATTTATATAAAAACAGACAACTGATTCTGACTATGAAAATCATATTTCCATTTCCTTACTTCACTGAATGACTAAAAGCATAGTCATTCAGTTTGGTAAACAAAATAGGTTTAGAAAAAGATAATTTTAAAATATTAATTATAGTTTAACCAGCTTATGACATCATTCATGGGACCGGCAATTTTTTGACATTATAACCAAGTGTCGTTATCTGCTGGATCATAATTTCATTCCCATAAAAGTACAAAGAGGTTTAAGAATCTATTATAAAATTCATTCTAATTTAACATCGTATGTATTACCGTAAAATTATTTCTTAATGGTAATACATTATACTGTATCTATTATGATGTATGTATAAAAATGCAAACTACATGTTTAAATCAACTTTATTTACATTATTATGTCTAAATTTACATTGATGTAATTTCAAAAATTATCTTTTATATGAAATTTCTATTTATCTTAAGTTTCAATAATGGCGGAGCTTCTGGTTTTGATAATAATGTCAAATCAAAATGCAATAAAAGGTTAAACTAATCTATGTCAATTAAAAATGGTTTAATTATTTCTTTATAATATGTTATATTAAATATAATAGAATATTTAACAGTTTAACATAAAGTAATTTAAAAATGAGTACATAATAACTGATGATAACCTATCCTAATGAGTACATAATACAATAATAACCGATTGTCATGTTGTTTAAAAGTGTGGCGAACCTCACCCCACCAAAGTCAGGTGGTGGGAGTACCACCCACAGTCGTTCTAGGAAGTGGACTCTGACCATAGGAGTGAACACACAGTATTTTCTTTGTTAAATAAAATTTGTAATCTAATTTTGTAAATTTGGGAGTGCTTCAAATATGACATTAAAACATGGTTTTATATGGTTACAAGTGGGATTTTTTAACATTATCTAGTATAGTAAAATCATGGGACCAATAAAAATTTGATGTTATATTAGGGTTGTCATTGCGTCCAGTGACGTTATAATTGGGTTAAACTGTATTTGTGTATGATTTTCATAGAGATTTTGGATAACAAAGTGTTATTTTGCTTTATCTTATTAATAATAGAACATTACATGTACATAGATATATTTTTATTTTAAAACAAAATAATGTCTGAAAAAATTTAAGATTTTCTGCATTGAAATAGAAAAGATATTGTAATAAAACTCAGCTTGAACATCTTGTTCTGTGCATTTTAGAAAAGACCACTGTATCAAACAATCTTATTATCTTCATTAAAAGTATCCATATCTACAATTATAGTAGAAATAATAGAGAAAAGAATATTGTGGAATCATACTGGTTAATTAAAGCAAATGTTTAGGCAGTCTTTTTATGTGCAGTTTGGTAATGGATGAAATAATCTAAGATTTGAAAAGAATACAAAATTGAAGAAAGAAATGTGAATGCACTGTAATTTGCTGTCCAATAACATAATATTTGCAGATAATGATGATCCACTACAACAACAATCAGATTTGCATTCTCTTGTGAAAGATTTGGATTTAAAATATCAGTAAGGAAATGCAAATGTGTAATAATCTCTAAAGAAATATGGTCAAATACCAAACAAATAGTGGTATCCATATATCTTGGTGTTTCAATTATGAGTGACAGGAATAACTTTCTTACTTTTCATTTTATATAAAATGAAAAGTTAGGAAGCAAGCTATTTTAGTTTCCATAATATTGACATACTTGAATGGCTAAATATGGTCTAAAATTAGTGTAGGTCTGAGATTAATGTAATAATTTATTAAAATGTGTTTGATATTAACTTACAAATTAGATGTAATAGCTGAAAAAAAACAATAGTACACAAATGATGAATGTTACTGAAATGAAAACATTAAGAATGACATGAAACAAAAGAGCAAAAATAAAATAAGAAATGAGAAAAATAAAATATACTGTACTTTTGTGAATTGACTGGCCTGTCACATACATGGTGCAGCACCAAAATCCAGACAAAATTCAATTTCAAATTCCCACCATTCTATACCACTGGTAGATGTCGTGTTTGGCATTCAAATAGCTTGACACATGTACTAAACCATCATAATCTCGAAACAGTTGCAATGTTGAAACCAAGTGCAGAGTATAACCAAATAGCCACTGATAGGACACACTTTTCACTTACTACAACAAGTAATAAAGTTATGTTAATATCCCTTCCAATTTCTGTAAAGTCCTGTACTTGACTAAAAATCCCAATTTGACTTCAATGCCCCTTGTATATAGTGTTTCAAAATTATTCGAATAACAACAACAAGTTCCATCAAGAATTCAACATTAGAAGTGATTGAATATCTAGTGAAATACATTGGAACATATTCTCAAGTTTATTTCTGAACAGACTCAGTAGTTCATAATGCTACCACTAGATGGCAGGCACTGTTAAAAAATGGATGCCAATAGTGAAGAGAAAGCATTTTGCATCTTACAGTTTCATGCGAGTAGGTCAGTGTTGGGTGTGCAACATTAGTTTTGTACGTGATTTTCTAAAGAATCACCAGCAAACAATCTGTCTTTCTAAGGGTTAATTGCTTGGCAAACCTTCAATTTCTGAGACCAGTGTGGAGAGAATTAGGAAATATTTTCAGCATAGTTCTCAAAAGTCTACAGCTAGAGTGAGCCTGCAATTTCCAAAAAACTGTGTGGCACATATTGCATAAGCATCTAAATATGCATCCTTGTTGAGTACTATGTACAGTACCTGGATGCAGTTAGATTACTGCATTGATGTTTGCAGGGTAGCAAAGGGAACTCAAATTAAACATCTATGACATCCAGCATCATGTTACCCACCGACATTTAAACTTGGACAGCTTCATTACGTATGCGAAATTACATCTTGTTTTGACAATTTATGAAATATATTTAACAATGAAATTATTATAATCATTTTGAAACACTTTGTATGATAAAATTTGCTTATTGTAATCACAGTCATTTAATATTATGAGAAGTAGTAAGTTCTAAAACATCTTGGTTAAAATAAAATATAAAACATTTTTCAACTTCTTAATTCAAAAGCTGGAACTATCTACTAAATACTAAAATTCACAATGATTAAAACAAACATTTTTGTCTACATTCAGTGGCCTGTGCCAGGTTAAGGAGATTCTATATTGAACATCTATCACAGGTTCAAAGTTTGGAACAAT